TTCACTTTCCTAACTTCTCTCCAATTTATCTCTTCCTTTCTACTCTCACTCTCACCAAGACTAGCCTATTAATGGATCATCTTCCCTTCACTCCATCCATCTTCAATACCAGCGGTCCCCAGCCTTTTTGTCACCAGGGACCGGTTTCCTGGAAAACAATTTTTCCATGGACTGGGGGCAGGGGGTGGTTTCGGGATGACTCAAGTGCATCACATTTATTGGCAGTCGAACCTCTCTGCTAATGATCGTCTGCATTTGCAGCCGCTCCCCAGACCAGCATCACCGCCTCAGCTCCACCTCAGGTCGTCAGGCATTAGATTCTCAGAAGGAGCCGCAACCTGGATCCCGCACATGCACAGTCTGCAGCAGGGGTCACGTTCCTGTGAGAATCTGATGCCACCGCTGATCTGACAGGCGGCGGAGCTCAGGTGGTGATATAAGCGACGGGAGCAGCTGTAAATACAGATGAAGCTTTCCTCACTCGACTGCTGCTCACCTCCCGCTGTGCAGCCCAGTTCCTAACAGGCCACGGACTGCACCAGTCCACAGCCCGAAGTAGAGTTATCCTTCTAAAATACAAATCGTTGATATCCTTCCTTTCTGAAAACCGTCAGTGGTTTCTCGCTGTCTACAGAATAAGTTAAAACTCCTTCCCATGGTATTCTGGCTCTTCCCTAGTCTTCCAGTTTCACTCTCAGGCACTACCCCCAACCTTACCTAGTGCTAACTTCACTTTCCGATTTATCGTTCCCAGATCAGACTACTCACTCCTCTGTTAATGCTGGCCTTGGTGTAGTGACAGGACCTGACTGTACCTACCCACACCTCGACTGGCAAATTCTAACTTGTTTTTAAGGCCCAGCTCAATTGTCTCCTTTGTGAAGCTTTCCTCAACCTTACCCAGACAGAACCACTTCCTTCCGCAACATCCCACGTATCCTCCACCTTCCCAAGCTAGTCGTGGTGTCACGAAGGCAAAGGCCGTGCCTTACTACCCTTAAAGCGCTAGTGCCTCAGCACCCCGACACCAAACACACAGCAGTTACAGCATTAATAGGACAGCAGCCAACATCTGAGCTAGACTCTAAGCACCTTAATTGTCACGCCTCTAAAGTAGGTACTGTTTTTGTATTAGCCCACTTTGGAGATAAGAAGACTAGGCCCAGAGAAGTAAAGTAACTTTAAGGCCACAGAGCCCAAGAGTGTGCATTAAAACACATACAAAAATCTCACAGGCATACCAGAATGGAATACATGATAATACTTTTACTAAATGATTATGTGACTTACTAATATATTACATCAGGTGTTCTGGGGTGGGAGATGAGTATGTAATGTTGTAAAAAAAAAAAAAAAGGAGTATTTTTGGACATAAAAAAATGAAATCAATCATTCTTATATATGACACCAATATAAAAACCAGATGTTGTTCATGAGTAAATCTAAAGTGATTGAAAATGTCCACATTTAACATGTTGTTTCCTAACAAAGGACACAGTTTTTAGTAGAGAAAGAGATAATTTAGTGCAATAGTTCTCAAAGTATAGTCCATGAACTCCTGGGTTCTGATACCCTTTCAGCACATCCACAAGATTAAAACTATTTCCATAATAAATACTAAAGTATTTGCCCTTTTCACTGTGTCAATAATTGCACTGCTGGTATAAAAGCAGCAGTGAGTAAATCTCCAGGTGTGTTAGCTAAATCAAAGCAGTGGTGCCAAACTTCAGTTACTTGTGGTCATGTATTTGTCGCTGCCATGCATTTACATTAAAAAAGAAAAAAGCAGCCAGTTTCACTTAAAAATATCCTTAATAAAGCAGTAACATTTATTAAGGTTATTAAATTTCAACTACTGAGTGATAGTCTTTTCAATACTCTGTGATAAAAAGCAGAATTAAACATAAAGCATTTCCCAAGTTATCTCAAGGAAAAATGTGTGAGTTGTGAACTGAACTAGCTGCTTTTTTTTTTACGGAACATGATTTTTACTTAGAAGACGAACTAGCCTTTTTTTTTTCCCCCACCATATATCATCTTTGCTTGAAAGAACCACTAGCAAACTATGTTTATTCAGACTCAGGTATCTGACACATATTTTTTCAAAAATGAAGTGAGCGTATCATTACAAGGAAAATAACTTACAGTAAATGTTATCAATGATAAAATTCAAACTTTCAAATAAAAGTTAGGACTTGGGAAATGCTGCATCTACTACCATGAGCCTTACAGCTTTCCAATACTTAATACTTCTCTGCTGAGATCAGTGGTAATATGAATGAATGTGATTTTTAAAAAATACTGCATGATGAAACGTGTCAGCATGTGGAAGTTCTGCGTAACTCAGTGAACCAGTTATTTTCTAAATCACCAATACATGATGTTATAAAGTTGTATGTGGGTAAAAGATCCACTGAGGGCTGTTTTCATTTGAGTCCATGCTTCGAAGAGCCCTCTGCTTACTTTAATGCTCTGCAATTGCTATCTTGAAATTCTTAATTTTTAAACAAGGAGCCCTGCATTTCAATTTGGCACCAGGGTCTATAATTACATAACCAGTCTTGGATCCATTCAAAGTGCAAAAGTAGACCAATGGATTTCAATATAAGAGAGTATAAAAAGTTCAAATTCTGCATTGCAACTAATCCTTAAGAAACTACCATTTGTCAAGTTTTGGCATAATATAAAAAACGAGTATCCACAATTTTCTGAAAAAGCTATTAAAATACTCTTTTTCCCAAACTACATATGAGTGTGAGGCCAGATGTTTTCATATACTTCAACCAAAACAACATAGCTCAACAGATTAAATGCAGAAGCAAATCTTAAAATCCAACTTTCTTCTATTAAGCCAGATATTAAAGAGATCTGTTAAAATATAAAACAATGTAACTCTTTCTAAATTTTTTTGGAAAATATTTTTAATAAAATGTTATCACTATTACACATGTGTTTTTAAAGTTTGCAGTTTTAATTTCTATATAAATATTGATAAACAAAGGCTCTCTGGGGTCCCTAATTTTTTTTTTTTTTCAAGACAGAGTCTCACTCTGTTGTCCAGGCTAGAGTGAAGTGGTGTCATCATAGCTCACTGCAACCTCAAACTCCTGGGTTCAAGTGATCCTCCTGCCTCAGCCTCTCTACTAGCTGGGACTACAGGTATGCAGCACCAAGCCTGACTGAACATTTTTCTATTTTTTTGTAGAGATGGGGGTCTCACTATATTGCTCAGGCTATTCTTGTACTCCTGGCTTCAAGTGATCCTCCCACCCTGGCCTGCCAAAGTGGTAGGATTACAGGCATAAGGCAACGCACCCAGTGTGTTCCTAACTTTTTAAGAGTCCTAAGACCAAATGTCTAAGAACTGCTGATTAAGAGTAAGATACATGAAAAATACATGAAAAAACAGACTCCTACCGCATTTCGATCATCATGTCTTCGAGTAACTCTGATGAATCCCTGCTATAGATACGGATGTAGAATTGACTAGGAGAGATGATATACTCCACAAAGACCCCTACAAGGGTACTGGTATTTAATGGTGGGAGTCTGCGTAATTTCTTGTCCCGCACAGCATCTGGTGGGATATCATGGTTTGCCATCGGCAGGTTGAGCTGTGATTTATCTATTTCTAGTTGCTATAAGTTAAAAAAAAAAAAAATCAAAGAAACCATCATAAATCTTTGGGAAACATTTCAAACCCTATGACAATGTTTCTCAAAGTATATTTCATGAATCATCTTTATCAGAATCACCTGGGAAATTATAACACACAGATTCTTGGGCTCTAGCCCAAACTTAGTGATTCAGAATACCTGAAAATGGGGCCCACAATTATGCATTTAAAAAAAATTCCCCAAGTGACTCTTACCCATGTTAAAATAAGAAAATTACTTGCTTGTGATATTAGGTAAAGAGTTTAAAAGTATGTTACTTTTTACCGTTTACTAAAACTGCACTATACAAAATTGAAAATATGATACTTTAAAAATATTCAGGCTGAACTAAGGTAGATTTTCTCATTCTACCCAACCATAATCAACTGTCAAAGGTAACTTTAAGGAACAGGTTAAATTTCAGACTAGTATTCCTACCAAAAATAGAGTTTCTCAAATATTCTCATTCTACAATATATTATCTGCCTCTAGGCCTTCCTATTGTCCTCCAGTAAATATAGCAGGCTCCCCAAACAAAATTTTCTCCTTCCATGAAAGAAGCCAGGTATAGAGGGTAGAAAGAAAGAGGAATAAGCAATTGATTCCTTGGCAACAACAAAATAAGTAATGAGAGATGAGAACACAAAAAGGGAGAATTGTGTGTGGAGATATAATAAAAGAGAAAAAAACAAAAGCACCCTATACTTGAGGATGGGTGTAGAGGCAATCTGCCACAGCTGTTGAGGCACAGACCGAAACAGCTGCCCAGTTCTTCCCACTCAAGCCCCTGAGGGTTTTCAAGACCACACTCTGGAACACGTGGAGAGAGCATCAGCAATGTCATCGTGAGAGAACCATCAAACCTCAAAACCATCTGAAAACTTTAAAATGAGCCTTGAGGGAAAAAGCTAGTTACATAAAATATTGAAAACTAGAAGAAATGCTATATAAGGTAATTTCAAAGATCCGGTGTCTTCCAAGAAATGATAAATCTAGAGCTAAGACTTTCTAAAAAGCATTTTGGTTGAAGGAAATAGTTATTCGATTACTTTCCCTAATGCTGACTCTCCAGTGCAGAAAGTCTTTCAGCTTCACTCACCAGCTGCAAAGGCTTCACCACCAGATTCGGCTTCTTGCAAATCTTCTGTTGTGGCTCTTTATGGTTTTTTGAAGGGAAATCCCATGAAGTCTCCTTGATAGCAGCAGTAGACAGTGAATTTCTAGGGGGACTGGAGACGTAAGCTTTGGCTTCTATTTTCTTATCTGATTGAACTAAACACAAATTTCTGACTGATGAAACAGCTCCATGTGAAATGTCCAATAGAATACCCTATGCATATTTGTTAAAATAATTGTTCAAATGTTACTAAGCACCTTCTTTATGCCAGGCATTGGGGAGACAATGACAAATGAGAGATAATGAACCCATTCCTGCAGACCTTTCAGTGTGGAGAGATAAGAGAAGCCCTAGATAGAAACAAACTCTAAATTATTTGTGGTAGGGAGAGGAGGGCTTGCAGTATGGTAAGCCTTCTTAAACTTTGGTAAAAGCCTTTACTTTTTCAATATCATGATTTCAGTTTATTTCTTGTTCAAATTAAGCAGTGAACATTCATTTTGCTTAACATACAATGTACATGACTACTTAATATTCCGTGAAATGATTCCTTAATTTTCAGGGAATTCCCAAATCAATCACATTTTGTTCAAATTTACACGGGTATGATGACTGCAAGAGGATGGCACATCAGAACAGACTCTAAACAGACCTACGACCACAGTGCTCCTAAAGAAATAAAGTCACATGTACACAAAGACGTAGGCCCAGAAATATCTATCACTGTATTTTTTATGATGATGGAAACTGGAATTAATCTAAATGTTCCCTTATTTATCTAAAAATACTTATTTATCTAAATGAATTATAATTACAGGAAATTTTATGTAGCTTAAAATATTAAATAAACTTGTACATAGTAATATGGACAAACATCCACACCATATGAAGTATAAAAACATGTGTGCACACAACATAGACATCCCTGACTTAGACGGTCTGATGTGATGCAGGTGTGAGAGTGACACGCACTCAACAGAAATCACACCTCGAGTGCCAGCACAACCACTCGTGTCTCTTTCGTACAAGATTCAATCGATTACACGAGCTAGTCAACTATTATAAAACAGGCTTTGTGTTAGATGATTTTGCCCAACTGCAGGCTAACGTGTGTTCTGAGCACTTTTACAGTAGGTTAGGCTAAGCTATGATGTGCTGTTAAGCGTATTAAATGCATTTTCTACTTTTAATCAGTTTATTGGGACATAAACCCATTGTAAGTTGAGGAGCATCTATATTTATATACTACTGTTTTTTTGTAGGAAAAATTGTACATGTGATGTTTAACTGTATTATATAAAAGAGGTCAATTAAAACTATTAACATGGGGAGGGGGGAGGAGGGAGGAGGGGACAGGTATTT